TTAGAACCAAATATTCCTTGTTTAGGGGGAGATTTGGAACCGGAACCAAATGTATTTTGCTGAGGAGTTAAGGTTGCAAAACTTGAGAACCCCAAAGGCTTAGAATAGCAAAGTAGACATATTAGCAATGCGCCTGAAAATTGTTCCAATATAATATATATATAAATATTTGTAAATGTTACAAATGAATTCTTTCGAGTCTACCTTTGATGATGGAGCTGAAAATTCGACACCGCTACCAAATATTCTAGTGATCGGAGTATATGAAGACCCAAATACTTTTGTATTCTGACTCGATGTACTAGATCCAAACACTTTGGTACTTTGACTCGATGTACTAGATCCGAACACTTTAATACTCTGACTCGGTGTTCTTTCATTTTGAGTCTTTTCTTCGTCTTTTCTAGACTCTTCCTCTTTAGCTTCAGACTCCGTCGGTTCTCTTGTCTTTTCTAATTTTTCAGTTGAATTTTTAATTTTTTGTGATGCTTCTTGTACAATAGCAGTGTCTATGTTGTCTTCAGTAGTTTGGATGCTTGATTCCTTTACAATTACTTCGGTGTCTTGTGCTTTTTTTTCTTCCCTAGGTTTTTCAATATCATCCAATATTAAAAGTTTATTTTCCGATGCACTAGTTGGTTTTTCTTCTTTACAAACATCGTTATCCACATCCAACTCATTTACTGCAAGTTTTTTCGAAGAAGTAAACGATTTTGAATCATCTAAAACTTGTATATTTTCGTCGGGTAAATTCGCTATAATTTCTTTTATTTCCTCATAATTCATATCCTCATCCTCAGAAGAACGACCTTCTATAAGTTCCTTTCGGTCTTCGTTATCAATTTTCATATTATTATCACCAACTGATGATGAATCAATCGGTTCATTTACATAAACGGCACCAACTTTCATCGTTTCTACCTTTTTTTGCAGAGTTCTCATGGGTTCAGTCGTTTCATTAAGCGTTTTAGGAATTTCTTGCATATTTTCGATAACATCGTCATGTCGTCTAATCAATTCAATTCAATTCAATTTATTAGTGTAAAATTCGTTAAAGTTTCCAATTATTATTTTGTAAATATCTAAGTGAATCATACTTTTTTTTTGATGGCACGGTTTTATCAACATCTGAAGAGTCCGACTGATTCTGTAAAAAAATAAAATAGCAAAATCACGATCCATGTATATAAAATATTTTTAATTAAAATGTACAATGAAAATAAGTCTTACCTCAACAGGCTCTTTATTTCTAATGTCTGAATTTTCTCGTTCCCTTTTACGTTTGATATCGTCTGCGTAGAAAAAAAACGAAATAGATTTGAGTAAATTCGAATGCGACGAGCTTGGATCCATTAGAATAAGGAGTTCAAATCTAAATACCATAAGAAGAGTCAGCAGAAGTTGTAGCCATTTTGAAAAAAAAATAAACAGTTTTAGAGAGAGAGGCGTTTAAACTTTTGAGCAAAAAAAGTTGGATATATGTCGTAATAACCGTTTTTAGTTCAATAATTCAAATATTTAAAAATTAATGTTAATTTTGCCCAGCATGGTTAACCATGTGGACTATAGAATATCTGCAAGATTTTTTTTTTCCACATTAAGCCATATTATTTGGGCAGCATTAGGTAGCTTTAATTTGTGTTACAAACCAACTATTTTGATTTGATGGGTTAAATGCGTTACAATTATCAAACTGACGCCATTAAAAAGATCATAAAGACAAAGACCAATAGGTTTATTTATTCCAAATTTCATGATACTAACAAACGTTAATATAATTCGTTTTTTTTCCTTTTGATTTACAAGCTTTTACTATTTTGATGACGCGTAAATTCGCGTGTGACGTTTGACTTTTATAATTATATAATAAAAAAAAAAAATTAGCGAATAAATACCATATCAATCAAAAATTAGAATTAAAAAGAAAAAAAAATTATTTCTGGCAAGTTTCACAGTCCCAGATTAAGATTGATATTTCAGCTTCGACGATCCAAGATTTGCAGTTAGTTAAATCACGTTTGATACTTGACGCATGAAATTTTAAGCACCAATCACAAAAAAAAGTTCAAATGCAAATTCTGATTTGATGTTCGAATTAAATTAATTTACGAATAATCTTTAAATACAAATCATCATTATCATATTTATGACTTTATTATTCTAAAAAAAACTAAAAAAAGTAGTTTAAAGTACAATTTTTTAATTTTCTTCATAATATTAAATTGAATATATAAACTATTTCTATTAATAATTAGTTTCAAGTTTTGCTATTCATCTTGTACATTATCATTAATTATCTAAATTTTATAACTTAGATTTAACCTCTTTCTAAATAATATATTATATATAATAAATTTATTTTATAAAATTTTAAAAATAGTAACAATTACCGTATTCCTCCGAAAATAAGCACCGAGTGATATATATGAATTTATTAGTATATACGTGACAAATAATATAATAAAATCCATGTGACAAATAAATAAATTACTATAAGTGGAGTGTGTCACGGGGTGCTTATTTTCGGGAATATACGGTACTTTATTTTACAAGAATTCTAAAAGATATGTTACCTTCTATTACAAATTAAAGATCTAACTTTATACTAACCAAAATAATCCCAATTTTTTATTTTAAGCTTTTTTAAAACTTTTATAAAGTATAATACTTTTATTTGATTCAGAATGAACAAACATAAACTTATCTAATAATAATATTTATTTTATTTATCTATTTAATTTGTTTTTATCTACTTATTTTTTACTATTTTTAAATTAAATAAGATTTTATTACAAATGATATACTTATTAAAACCTTAACCATAAAGATATTTTTTAGAAATATTATATGTAATATAATATCAAAATTAAAGTTTAATATATTTTAAAGAAGTAAACTGTTTATTATGAATAGTATATTATAAAATCTATTTATAATATTAAGTAAGTATTTTAAAATAATCAAACTTTTTAAATTTTGTAGAACCTTTTTTTGATATTTTTTATAATATTATTTATAGTGATAGTAAAAATATTAAGTTGAATTAAAATAATTATTATTTAGTATTACTTAAATATACTAATAATCTTTTACTTTAAGTTTTAAACAATTCATTTTATGTATATATAATAAAAGAAAATACTAGTTATAATTTAAATATACTAATTTTTATAAATAAAATCTGATAATTTAATATAATAATATAGAATTTAAAAGTCTTAAAAAATTTTAATATTTTTTATTTTTATAAGATATATATCTTATATAAAAATTTTTAATTAAAATTACTTATTAAATAAGTTTAAATATTAGATTTAAAATTTATATTTTAGAATTAGATTATATAGTCAACTCTTTATAAATGCATTCTTCTTAGGACTAGATATAAGGATGCGTTTAAAGAAAGTATGCATTTATAGAATATATTAAATCAATATAATATTAATCTAAATTAAGGTAATATAAAAAATTTATAAGTAAATTATATAAATTTTTTTAATGAATGCTCCCGGATCTTTGAAGTTGAACCAGTTTAACCTAAATAATCATTATATCGAGTTAGCAGGCGTTTTGCCTGCGGCTATAATAACCGGTTTCAGTGGTTTTTGAAGTTTTAACCTAAAAAAATCATTATACCGAGTTATCGGGCGTTTTCCTGTGGCATAAATACGCGGTTACCAGTCCATCCAGCTTTATTTTCCTCAGCTATCCTGTGAAGAAATCGTCAAAGCGGGTAATGATGGACCAGTGATCTTAGAGGTCATTTAAACCGAGTAATTTTGGCTACATTTTATATGTTTTTGGTTTTCCTCCGTATTTAGGGGATACTGTCCCTTATTTACACTGGTAACCATTAACGTTATATTATGTAATATTTTTTTTTTTAGAGATTTTTTTTTTTCATAAAATTAAGGAATAATACGGTGCGCCCTAATTCTTAGTAAATTTATTAGTTTATAATGAATTTCTTAAAAAAAAAATTTATTTTTCTTTTTTTTTTGGATTATATGATCTTGGTCATTGATTATCTAAAAAAAAAAATTTTTTTTTTAAACTCGAATATAGATTAATCTATATCTGGCCAAGTGCAAGCATATTAGCATATTGTGATTTTAAATTAATTAACGAGAACGTTCCTTGTATATTTTTACTATTGATGTAAAAGAAAATTTATAATTATATAGTTTTTTAATAAACCAAGTTACGATACTCTCTTCTTTCTTCGCTAATAATATAAAAAAATAATCGCGTTACATTTAATCATTCTGTCTATTTTGTAATCCAAGTTTACTAAGTATCTGATCACATTATTCATTAAAATCAAAATATTAATTTTTTTATTTTAAAAAAAATAAATTAATAAATTGTATTTTTCGAATTTTATTTCGATGACGATTCTATTTTTATGGGTACATTAACATTCCTGAAAATTTTTTAATATAAAAGAGAAACTTGATATTTTACTTCTTCCCTTGCTTTAATTATAGATTATGAAAAATAAAATCATAATCAAATTACTGATCCTTGGATTTCTTGGGTGATTCTCTAAACCTTGTTCAGCCTTTCGCTTCAGTCCAAACGTTACCTAATGCAAAGAATATAGTTATTATTTATAGAGCAAGACAGTAAAGATTACCTAGATAGAAAAAAAAATTATACCTTTTCTCTTTCAGGAGCATTCATACTTTGACCCGTCAATTCAATCCGCCATTAACTGTAATAATACTTGGACCATTAATTGAAGTAGTTCCTTGGCGCCTTGGACGACTCTGAGGATTTTACATTGTTATTTACCATGCTTGGAGGAACCACCCTAAATATAAAGAACATAAAATTAGTAAGAAATCAACCAATCGATTATAAAATTCCATACATACGCTCGATACCAACAGATAATACAACATGTGCACAATTAAGTTTGGATGAATTTGTATTTACGAATAGAAATTTTATTTTGATGCTTGTTCTATAATTTGTTTTCTAATTAATAAGAAGCGTGCTTTATAGATAAACCGAGTTCTAAAAAATTTTTACATGATAAATTCGTTATAATGTTTTATCGAATACGTTCTTAATTCTGACTGTGAATAGTTTATAGAATTAAAGCCATTTCAGTTAACATATTTTGGAGATTACAAATAGATAGAACGGGTTTTGTAAAACATGTTGTCACTTAATTTTTTCTATAATTAACGAAAAAAAGGATATCTTTCAAAGTTTATTAAGTTATTATCGTAAATTAAAGGTTTGCATTTTGCCGATGTGTTGAGAGGTATTGATTATGGAATGAGGCAGCCGCAAATATTTTTTTTTTTTATAATTGATAAATTTATCAACAGACGTGATTGCTTTTTATAACGCTAATTTTCTTTCTCTGCTCCCAAAAATAATTCAACTAATTACAATACCAATCATATTGTATCCTCCTCATCACTTTCCCCTTCAATTATTTCTTCTTTTCTTTCGTTCACCTGATTATAAAATAATTCCGCTAATTGTTCACTAGTAGTGGCTTCTTCAATGCCCTTGTCTTCCCTAACTCTTATAAATCTCGGGAATCTTAATGAAAGACCTTTATTCTGATCTACTTTGCCAAGAGCTGCTTTGTAAACTGGTGATATTGTAATATCCGCACCTTTAATTTCCCAGACTTCACTTGGCTCAAACCAAGCTGATAAGTTACAAGGTGATATTTTAGGAAAGAAATCATGAATTTATCAATGCATTACAGCATAATTTACTTACCATCTGGTCTAAGACCATCATCTACATCAAAATATGGTTTTTTATACTCCGATATATTACCATTTTCTCGCGAGTACTTTAATTTTAATTCCTTATAAAAATCATCACTGAATCCTGACATACATTTACATACACTTTCAAATGTTTCCGTATCAGGATTATAAATTGCAAATAAAATTGGACTCCACCATCCGGCTTTTCTACCATTTCCATACCACGCACCAATAGGCTTCAATAAAAATAAAATTATGATAAAATTTGGGAATTTTCGCGTTATCCCGATGAAACGAAAAAAAATTTGAAAACGAAATATTTTACCACAACATCCAGGCTGTCACCAATGCCATCAAGGTAATCTTTTTTAACTTTTAACCAACTTTCGATCCTTTTATCTATAGAAATAATTAAAAAAGACAGTTAATCAATAGTAGCAATTCGATACGCGTAAAGGAAATTGCACTTCAATTTATAAATAAAATAATATTAGACAAACCAGGTTCATAACTGGCCAATAAATTCATTCGCGTCTTGCTTTTCAAGCCTTTTGGTGGGTCATCCAACACCTTAACCATTATACCTTCACATCCAAATTCCATGGATTCCTTAAAAAACGAATGAATCTCCTCAGGGTCGGATGATTCAATATGGTTAACATATGTGAATCGATTTGGAATTTCCGTGAATTTGGTCCTCAGAAGTTCTCGTCTTTCTCTTAATGGTTTTTTCAATAACGACTTCAAACACGAATTAGATAAAATAAAAAATAATAAAATAAATCTTCTAACATACCTACCTCGCCATTTAAATACATCAAATCAAAGGCAAGAATACGAATTGGTATAGAGATGGAAGATAACTCAACATTTTTCCTCGACCGATTGGTTAGTGCTTGAAAATTTCGTATTTTTCCATCCAAGTCAACGGCTACGACCTCGCAATCCAAAATAAAAGATTCAACATTATTTAAACAAAATTGAGGAACCATCTCGACTATATCAGGAAATCTATCCGTCATATTCTGTTCAACAAGATTATAAATCAAAAAAAGGTTAATTGAAATGTTCTATTAATACCTCGATAGGTTTTAAAGAAATTACCTCTAGATTACGACTAAATATTGACACATTCCTATCAGCGTCCATATGAATTTGAGCGCGTTGTCCATCATACTTGTATTCACAATTGAATGACCTTCCCTCAAGATTTTTGAAAACTTGTCCCAAATCTCGAGTAATTTTGCCCAACATCGGTTTTAAGGGAACGCCTACATGATAAAAAGTAAACTATCATCTCGTAAACATATGTTCCGCTAAAAAAAAAAAAAATTAAATAATTTACGCCCAATTCTCTCATTAATGTATTTACCAACTGTTAAATAACAGACATCCAACAGTTTTTCTATCGGATACTCTAAAAGAAACCTAACAATGCCATTATAATTGGGAAATTGTGCATAGCACTCTTTCAATAAATTTTCGGCCGCTTTTAATTTAGCGTTCAAAGAATCTCTTGGTTCCTTTTTGATATCTTCAATAAACAGACGGTTTGTATCGTCAAGTGATTCACTGATAGCCATATTGGTTGGCCTTGTAAGACAAAACGCGTGTGAAAGAGCGATTAAACACGTCATCCTCACGGAACCAATCCTCAGATTTTGTATCAATGTTCTTGTAAGATACCTAATCTCTTCCCCTTTACAAGAGATTAATAGCTTTTTCACTAAATCAGCCTTTTGATCTATCACACCAGTCCCCTTTAATTTGGAAATAGAGATAAGTGTTTTGTATACTTTATCAATCGTCAAAGGTTTATGTTCTACTAAAGTTCGAACCGAAACTTTCGCTGCGTAAGTTACATCACCCCAATCTCCATATCTGTCATAATACTGTTTCAATGTCTTTGAAGAAGCCCCAGATATGGAAGTGACGGCTTTTGTTAATATTTGTGAACCAATTCCGAGTTCTATGCCTTCATATGAAGGGGCTATGGCATTTGAAGAAAGCCATACAGCGGGTAGAACGCTATCGGGATCATTATAATTAATAGTGCGAAACATATTTGTCAAACAATCTATAATCTTAAGTCGGCTTGTTGTTTTTTCAACGATAACAAAAGTGTCGCTTAGGAAGCGATAAGGAACTTTCAATCCATTCCAATTAATCTTGGACGGATCAAATTCCGAAACATCCATATCAACCGACATCTCGGATGAACCTGAAGAAGGCACGGCGCTGCTATTTAACGTGACTTTCCTACTTTGTATAGTAGAACCGGCGGGTTTTTCAAAAACCGTCCCACTTTTATCGGAAGTATCCAAGTTTATCACTGCTTCCGGTTGTTTAACTGTGACACGTAACTCTTTAACACTGTCATTATCTGCAATTGACTCTAAATCTTCTTCGGAAGCAACATTCGTCACACCGATAGCCTCAATTTGTTTGATATTATTATTCTCTTCCTTGTTAGAACTCTTCTCAGGTTTTTTAGAACCGGTCTCATTTGTAGGTTTACTCTGTTTGCTAAAATAAAATTCCAAATTACGTTGACTTTTGTCTTCTTTAATCTTTTTCTTGGCCGGAGTCTTCTTAATGGTGGATTTTCTCTTCATTCTAGGTTGTTATCACAAGGTGAAATATAAAATTAAAAAATTAGAATTTAAACAAATTAACTGCGGATCTATTGATCAAAATCAGATGAGATGAACCAAAATTTTTTTTTCGACTTTCAACTTATTCTTTTATTAATTCTAATCTATTTGCATTAAATAAGCACAATACAAATGTATTCGCTTAGAACATTTAGTTTCAGGTTAAAACCTTGTGTGCAAACCGTGACTGTTCAGACATCAAAGAGGTGTTTGAACAGTTCTGCCCGTCGTGAGTTGAAATTTATGGAATTCTGAAAAAAAAATTCAAAGTTTAAAAATTTACAATAAATTGGTATTAAAATATATATACAATTTTATTTTAATGTAGCTTTGGCTGTTTCCGGTATCGCATTCAATAATGTCAAAGTGGTATGTACCAAATTTTATTTATCTATCCTCTTTGCTACAAACGAAGTCGCGGATCATCGGTATTGTAAAAAATGAAATATAGAACCAAAACATTAATCAATGAAAGATGAACCAAACTTTTTTTCCTCCGTGTAATTAAAAAAAAAATTGTTCTAAATCAATTACCCATTGATCCGCGCTTTCAGCGAACAAAGAATTTCGTTGATATGTGTTGTCAAAAATCTCTTCTTTTTGTTCGATTGTAATGATCCAGCTTGAATTGCGATCACAAAATTCTTTCCTAGGCCACCTTTAACTTCATAAATTCGTCAAAAGTCCATGGCACGTCATCGATACGATTTAATTCACAGAGATGCGGCATAAGTATGATTCATCATTTTTATATTGGAAACAATTTACACGTATTTTTTTTAAAGAAATTCAAAAATGGTTCCATAATATGTACGTATCTAAATAAATTTTTAGTTAATAGAACTTATGCGACCGAATCAGCTAAATTCAAACGTGGAAAACCACACGTAAATATCGGCACAATCGGGCATGTGGATCACGGAAAGACTACTTTGACGGCTGCGATCACTAAATGTTTGTCAAGCAAAGGGCAAGCACAGTTCAAGGATTATGGTGAAATTGATAAAGCTCCTGAAGAGAAAGCCAGAGGAATTACCATTGCTACAGCACACGTAGAATATGAAACTAATACCAGACATTACGCACATGTCGATTGTCCTGGTCACGCCGATTACATCAAAAACATGATCACTGGTGCAGCTCAGGTGGGTCAAACTGACAGGTTACGTCATAAAACTACCTCGCTTGCCCATTTTAACTCGACTGATACTTTCATACAAAAAGATGGATGGAGCTATTATCGTTGTGTCAGCTACAGATGGACAAATGCCTCAAACTCGGGAACATTTACTACTTGCTCGACAGGTTGGTGTTTCAAATCTTGTGGTATTTATCAACAAAGTCGATGCGGTAGATGATCCAGAGATGTTGGAATTGGTCGAAATGGAAATGCGTGATTTGTTGACACAATATGGATTTGATGGTGAAAATACGCAAATTATTCAAGGATCCGCTCTTGCAGCTCTTGAAGGAAGAGATCCTGAGATTGGAGAAAAGGCTATAGAAAAATTGATGGACGCAGTGGATAAGCATATTCCTACTCCTGTCAGGGATCTGGATAAACCCTTCTTGATGTCCATCGAAGGCAAGTAAATGGGGGAAGGTTTTATCAATAATACATTTCATTATGTGTTAATCTCATCTTTTCCCCGCTTAGACGTTTTTTCAATTTCTGGACGTGGTACGGTGGCCACGGGTCGAGTGGAGAGAGGAACTATTACGAAAGGTGCAGAAATTGAGATTGTTGGTATGGGTACTCCAACAAAAACCATTTTAACAGGCATTGAGATGTTTCACAAAGAACTTGATAAGGGAATGGCAGGAGATAATATGGGGGCCTTATTACGGGGTGTTAAACGAGAGCAAATTCGAAGAGGACAAGTCATCGCAGCACCTGGTACAGTGAAATCACATAAGAAATTTCTGGCACAATTGTATATCTTAACAAAAGAAGAAGGGGGAAGGCATACACCATTTATGCAGAATTATAGGCCACAGATGTATTTTCGTACATCTGACGTTACGGTAAATTTAACGTATCCCAAGGGAACGGAAAACCCAGAAGAAAAAATGGTCATGCCAGGTGATAATGCCGAATTAGAATGTGACCTTGTACATGACGTTGCGGTCGAGCCCGGGATGAGGTTTACAGTACGCGAAGGTGGAAAAACTGTTGGGACAGGTGTTATCACTCAAATTCTTGAATAAATTTAGTTAATATCATAAAACTTCCGATTTCTATTTCTTTTTTTTTCTTTTTAAAACATCGTGTAAGTTACACTTTTGAATTCGAGATGACAAAATTAGATCAAAATCCGGTGTAATGTAATTAAAATATTCTTTTATTTTATTATATTCAAAAGTACATTGGTAAATAATTTTTTTTTAGTTGTACAAATAACTTAATAATTTATTAAACAAGATGCCAAATTTTTTGGCCGACTTTTATCAAACTTCCCATTTTGACTAGGATAAATAATTATGATGATAATTCCTGTTATCAAAATTTGGACCCATAACACGATTATTCTGAAATTGACTGTAATTTATGAATTGTCCACTGCTGGGATATATAGATTGATCATGCGAAGTACTACTAAGATTATTAAGAAGATTTCGACCATCGCCGTTAGGATTACTTTGTGACAAATTTTCTCGTTCTTCGCCGTAAGGATTCACAGCATGAGCCCGGATTTGATTATCAAAATCATGAATCCGCCCATTAGTATTATTATCATGTCTATTATAATTCTGATCATTGTGTTCATAGGAAGGAGGAGGTGGGGTACGAGTAGGATAAGGAGGTGGAGGGGTAGGTATTAATGGTGGAGGAGGATTCAACAATATCGTTGAAGGATGGATTTGAGTTTGGGGAGCAAATGTCATTTGAGGACGGTATACCATTTGATGAGTAACATCGTATTGCACGGGTGCCTGCACGCGTGGCGGTGACGATGTATGCACGCCTGCGCCTGTATGAGCTTGAAATTGTCGAAGTGCATAAGAATCTTTTGCCTGTTGCTCGGATTGTTTACATTTTGAACATATTCCCGGTCCCTAGAAGGATTAGGATTTGACTTAAAATATTGATACTTTCTGTGAAATGAACAAAAAAAAAAAACTTCTTTTTTTTAGTCGATACGTACTGTTGGTCTACAACCCACGCCTATTAAATCCAATGGAAGGTTTTTCCCCAATTAACGAATGCATTTTTATTTGAATTACTTTTAGAGGTTGAAATTGAATTAAAAATTCATGATATGTTGAATTGTAATAAATAATTACCATTATAACCGTCACCCAAAGGATTTCTTTTATCGTAATTCGAAATGAAGAAAATGATATAAATTCAGCACAATTCATGAATGTTTTTTTAAATAATTTGCGATATGAATGTAAAATTAGTAAATACCTATTAAAGTACCCGAAACAACATTCTTTAAATAAATAACAAGGACAACAAAGACATGCTGTCAGATAATCTTCAAATAACCACTCTTTCTCTAAATGAAAAAAAAAAAAAATAAGACGATATTAAATAAAAATTGGGGAAAAGGGTGGTTTGAATTTTTTTAAACAAACTATTGTTGATATACCGAAATCATGTAATCCGCCTGCGGGACACAACTTGTGAGGAAGATAATCATTGTAAGAAGACGACCCGTCGTCTTCAGTATTGTTAATTATAGAGTTTCTACGAACGAAATGATTATTTGAATAATTCATAATAATTTAAAAAAATGTAAGGGGTATAGCAAGGAAAGAATTTCTTGGGAACATTTAAAAATGTCCCACTGACAAAAAGGTACAATTGGAAATTTATTTTTTTTTTTTTCTTTTTTTTCACTTTTATCCAGTTCAATTAATTACCTCACCTTATTTAGAATAATACTTACATATTTGTCACACAAAGTGAACAAATATATACATAAACATCTTTTTCCAACTTTCAAACTTTTCAAAAAACCAACTACATTTCAAATTATTTTAAAGATTTCACCATGGGTAATCCATCGAAGCGTACTAATAAAAAATCCCCTACATACTCCTCGGAAATTGATGATATACCAGAAGATGAAAAAATGCGATTAATCAATGAATCTGGTATAAAGGAAATGTTTAAAAAAATAGAACCAGTTCGTCAAGAACAAATTTTGGAGGAAGATTTAGATCCGTTCGTTTACGGACCAACTTTTCAAGCTTTCCTTTATACCATCCCACTTTGTTCCGTTTATACTGTTATGGACATTTTAGTACATAGACAATACAATGAAGATGTTTCCATCTTCCCTTTCTCGACTAGAGTACTAAAGATCGCCCCAAGTAAGTCAAACGAAGAGATAGTGTTTCTTTCCTAATAAACTGATTTTTAACTTTTTTTCACTTTATCAAAAAAATAATTATAGTTTTATGGTTTTTTGTTTATTATACAAATAAAAATGTAAAAAAACCTTGGATACAAGCATTTATGTTTTTAGGCTCAATAGGATGTGGTTGTTATTTAATTTATGTTTTAAACAAAATTTCTTATTATGGTGTGATGCGTAGATGTCCCCCTCTTGCTACTTTATGGATTTATTTCGTTATTCAACTTAATCTATGGCCTTCAGTGCTTAGTTTAGTTTTTGTTTATTTATTCTTTAGAATCGGTGAATTTAAATTAGGTTAAAAAACATAATTTCTAATGATTGATAATATTTAATATTTTTCTCACTTAAAAAAAATTAGATTTTTGATAAAAAGGAATTATATTTAATAAATATTCAAAAATAAGGAAACAAATAATTGTAATAATAACTATTATTGATAACCTATCTATCTATTTGATTATTACCCACTATATAAACTAAAACTACAAAACAAATATAATAAACACATACTACGTATTTTATAAGAAATATAATAATTTAACCCAATAATTTATCTAAACCACCAAAAAGTTTTTTAGATTTGGATGAAGCTGATGAGCCAGTAGACGTTGGTTTTTGAACATGGCCATATTGATGTTGCTGTGATGGTGGTAATGGTGGTAATGGATATTGACCTTGTGATGGGTAACCTCCACTCTGTGGTGGTTGCGGATATCCAGAAGTTGAATATGCGTTTTGTTGATAAGCTGCTTGTGGTGGAAATCCTTGTTGTGGATATCCAGCTTGTGGGGTTTGATAAGAAGGTTGCGATGGGAAATAACCTGATGGCGAATTTGATCTGTTAAATGGTGGTGGCGTTGTATTTGTTGTTGCACCCGGACGAGGTGGTAACTGTGGTGGTGTCGAGGAAACTTGCACTGGTGCCTTCGCGTAACTTCTCGTGGGAGGTCGATAAAGTTGTTTTAAATCATCGATAAATTTGTTAGGTGTAATGATATGAGTCGATCCTATAATAGGAGGTAGGAATGTTAACATTATATGTTGAATGAGTAAGTGAATAAAAATTAGTATTTACTCACCAATAACAACATCTCGACACAATTTGGCACTAACTTCATAAGAACTACGAAGTTCAGAATATGTAACTCCACCAGCAACGAAAACTATTATTCTTCCTACCCGATTTTCCACCTAAAGCATTTGAAATATTTAGAATTCTTTTACGATTTAAGAAAAAAAAAAAAGGTAAAAAAAAAAAAAAAAAACTCACCGCCTGACCTTTCTTATACCAACCAGCTCTTGCACTTCTTAACGATACAGGTCCTTGTTGTGTTCCTTTTAACCCGTCAGGATCTCCCGTTGGATCCTTTGTGTATGGATATGCGGTGTGATCTATAGTACCATTAATATGGCTCTAGAAGGAAGAATACCTAATCAATATGAATAAAAATGCTATAATAATAATAATAATTATCTTTAAATATTTCACCTCCAAAAGAAGTTTTAATTTTGGAATATAACGGGAAATTTCGTATTGAATATCATCACTTGGTTTTTGTCGATATTTCTTGTTCTTTTTTAAACTTGATTGAACCTAAGGAGATAAATAATGAAGAATAAATACTTAAAAGTGATCTCATGAACTAACCGACATAACTATCATAAACTAAACTTAATTCTAACCCTAATCAATTTGATTCCGAATAATAACAAATTGTTTATAGCATCGTTTTCTTCCAATGTAATTCTTGCATGCTCAAGCAATTTACGTCTATCTTCTTCAAGAATACCGTTCTTATACATAATATATAACATAAGCATTCTGGTCTTATTCAATGAACTATAATATACAAGAGATATATCTATGTTATTTAGAAATCCGTCTAAAAAAAAAAAAAAAAAATTTTTTAACCAACAAATGTAAAAGTTATCACCTCACAACAGGATTATCTAATAATGGAACCATATCTTCAACTAAAGTCTTTGGATGAACTCCATCAGCTGTATGCCCCGTAGCACAATTCTATTTCCCATATTCAAAAAGAAATGGTTAGTATTATAACAAATTTGATTGAAGAATAATGATCAATTATCATGCCTGTTCTATAGTTGCAGATTCAGCGAGGCTTTCTCTCTCAAATAAAGCCATACATTCTTGTGCAATACTTAAATGTACGGAAAACTTTTCTTTCATATTTTGAAATTGTGGCAAGGTTGCCAACATCTTCTTCATATCATTTAAATTGACGGCCTTATCTCTGAAATAAACATTATTCCTTTAAAAGAAAAGTAGGTAACTAAAATTTTCCCTAATAAATCAATTAAAACCTACTTTTCGGCAAATCCTTGATTTTCAGTCAAGAACTCATTAAAATCTTTCATAAGCTTATCGATACAATCCTTCATATGCTTATGTCTAATTTCAACCCAAATGCTATCTGTCTCATCAAGTATGGCCTCTTTTGTTGCTTGAGAACCATCTTCACCAGTATAATTATAATTATACTTTCCATCTTCAATCGGCAAAAGATCATTAGCCATTGCTTGATAAGTGAATTCATGTAAAATTGGACTATACATATCAATAGTTCTATCCACAATGAATAAAACACCACGTGGACGAGTAGAATCTTGTGGCTAGAAAATAATAATTTCGACTTTACTAAATTAATCAATGAACAAGATAAATATTAGAATAATATTTACAGGAAAACCTGGATTAAGCCTAACGAAACTATCCAATTCATTCTGAACCAACATCGCCAATTTATAAGGTAAAGCCTTTGTTGGATGATCGGAATCAAGAGATCTTTGATAACGGATCAATGGATTTTCACCCAAAGATATACATACAGAAAGTAGCTAACGAAAAAAAAAAGATAGAGGGAGACAATTAAGACAAAGGTTTTTAACTACGATCCCAATTGAAATTTCATTATAATTACTTTTTTAGCAAGGATCCTTAATTCATCGTCAAATCCAGCATTTTCTTCAGGTGAATACAACTTGAAAAAACTTAAAGGTGACTCAAACGAGTAAACATGAGCTTCCTTTGCTATAAAATTGAAATGATGTTAAATAAGTCACTCAACGTTAACGTAAATATATAAATTTATGAAATATACCATGAAATTCAATAAAGAGATCGATACGTTTTATCAAGTAATCCCTCGGTAAAGCAGAATCTAACATATGAAGCAATTTATCATCAGGTCCTAAAAGAAAAAAGATCAAAATGTAATTAAAAAAAAGGTTATATATAATTATCAAGAATAAAAATAAAATAAAAATAAAAAAATCTTACTTGATACGAAAAATAAATGAATATGAGCATACAATGGCGTCACATTGCTTTTAAAATCTTCAATCACTTTATTAATAGACTCGTAAGTTGGGGTAATTATATAAACCGCATCAAGTGATTGATAAGCTTGACGGGGCTTTTCAAGATTTTCTACCGCTTAATAAAGGATAAAAAATTAAAACGGAAAACTTCATTTGGAATAAACAGATATAAATACTTACAAGTTACTTTCTCTTCAAGAATATCAAACATTTTACAAGCAGACTCTATTATCTTTAGTGATGCTTCATCTACCACTACTACCTTCCAACCACCAGGCGGTTGAACTGATTTTATTGCATCAAGGATACCTAACCGAAAATAAAATAAAGAAATAAATATAAGGACAGCGCATCAATAAAAAAAAAAAGGTAGCGATTAAACATACGTTTTTTAAGGATTTCGTGAAGAGCTATAGTCATATTTGGAGATTAGAATGGATTTACGAAATAAAAAAATGAAATATTTATTTCATTTTTTGCATTATTGATATTTTGATATTTATATATCTTATGTGATCAGCGATATTATTACTCTGATCGAGTTCAATAGATATATCCCTGTAATTCTCGTTTCTCTCGCACATAGAATAATATTACCCCACAAATTCAAGAAGA